CAGTTTTTTTTTCTTTTTTTGCTAGTGACACTCCGATTAAGGCCGTAGAAAACGAACAGGAGCAGCAGCCCCCTAAGATGCTCACCTCAGAGCCACCACTCCACTACAACTTTGATCTGATTGGAGTTGGGGTGAGTCTTGAGCTGCTTCACCGCACGTTCCATTTCCGGGTGGTCTTTAATACCACTGAGCCTGGCCTCTTTAAGGTTGTCCAAGTTCTCGAGGCCAACAATGCTCATCTTCTTGTCAAAAAAAAGTAACACGAGCGTCTCCAGCATTGGCATTGATCTTTTCTCGAAAGTGAGCTTGCTCGAACATCCGATCACCTTCAGGATCCTCAGCACCAGGAACTTGTGTTCGGGGCGTGCAACCAGTTCTCCTCCGTCTTTGCACTCAATGTCTTTTAGACGGACATTCGCCAGTTTGGGCACCTTACACAAGACATCAAGTAACTTGTCCCCATCAAGTTCTTTTGTCTTTCCCACTTCAATCCTTGTGAGGTGTGTGAGTGATGAGATCCAGTCGGGCAATTGGCTAATGTCTCGGCCAAAACACACCAAGGCATTGGAGAAATGGCGGCGGCGTGGAGACGGCATCGAGAAACTTCAAACGGCTCACACTCCCCTCGAATTTCAGATTTAGCAATAGGAGACTGCTTGTCTTGCTCAGGGAGGAGGCAAGGTTTGTCAAACACCCATCACTGACTTCCGCATGGATTATAATACTGAGCAACTGCAACTGCGTCAGCTTACCAATCTCTTGAGCAACCGATGGAACATCAAGGACTCCTGTGTCCACCTCGCGCAATGCTTTCATCTTCGAGATCCCTCGAGGCAGATTCCAACTATTGGCCCATAGGCGCTCTAGTTTGCTTAACTTTGTCACAGTCCGTGGTAACTTCTTGATGAGAGTGTTGTACATCAAGAGTCTCCAAGCGCTCTAGATTGCCAACTTTGCGAGGCATTATTTTGACTCCTGTACCCCTCAAGCTCAAGAACCTGAGAAGATACAGACGGCAGACATCTCTCATGTGTTTGTTTCTCATGGATGTGCAATCTTCCAGGTCAAGTACCCTCAGCAATTTGAACTCACCTAGGCGATCCAGCAGCTTGGCAAGGTCAACACGTTGAAATGTGGTCAATGACCGGACATGCTGTAGCTTCATCGCTTCAACACCATGCCTTGAATGATGATGCTCGTCATGGTCGTTATCATGGATGGAGAGGCGGCGGACCTTGCCATGTCCATATGTCTTCCCTTCAAATTCACACCCTACCAAGCTAACAAAGTTAGACTCATGGGATTTGGACACCATGACCTCAAGGATCATGTCGTGCACCCGGCACCCCTGTACCTCCACTTCTCTAGAATCTTTTAACTGGTACACAAACTTGTCTAGTTGAATCATATTCCTACTTAACAACTCGTTGAAGTATTCTTCTGCAACCTCCAACAAAGTCAAACCCCGTTTCTCAGTGACCAGACCTTCAGCAATCCATCTGTATAGCAGTCTATCCTTGGCAATCATATAATCCTCCGGGAAAATGCTCACATACATCATGCAAGCCTTCAGATAATGAGGTAGGTAGTCATAGCTGAGTGTAATCAACTGCCTCATCCCCTCGAGGGTACGGTTGCTTTCCATATGAGAACCAATTGATCTAGAAACTTGTTTCCACATATCTATGCTCTCAGCTGACGTAGAGCTTGGCAGAAGGCTGGCGATGCTAACGATGGCCAACGGCAACCCACCACATTTTTTCAAAATTATATCCATGGTTTCTTTAAGTTCTGTGGGGCAATCACCCAGCTTTGTGGAGCTAAACACTCTTTTGACAAATAGTTTCTCAGATGCTTCTCTTTCTAGGGGCTCCATGTGATGGACAAAGTCGGCACTAGCTGCCACAGCCACTTCCTTTATCCGAGTTGTCACAATGATTCTGCTGCCGCAATTACTCTTTGGAAATATGTTCCAGATAGCTTCCCAGGCTGGTAGGCTCCATACATCATCGATCACAATGAGATACCTGGTTTTATTCGACATATGCATGCTTGGAGTTAGAAAGTTTGTGTATGTGCAAAAAAATAATTAGAAATAGTTGTTAAAATAGAAATACTAACAACATTCACAGAAAATTAAGGACTTTGTTTCTTTTTACAGAAGAAAAAAAGAACTCTTGTTTCTCTGCAAACGGCAGTTAAAGGTTCTTAATTGGTCTATGTGTTGCAATAGTGTACCCATGTATTAAGTATTTTTCTTTGGATCGAGGATACCGAGGGCATTGATTCTGAGTACATGTACAGCTGGGCCTTCATAAAAAATGTTCAGCTTCCAATGAAACAGTAGCGCCGAGACGTACAGAAAATAGCACACAAGGAGCATTGTTTTCTAAAGATCGAATGTCCAAAGTCGAACACCACCCCACTCCCCCAAAAAAAGCTGCAAAAACTTTTCAATCATTTTGAATTTTGTTTGTGTTTTCTCTACTCTACTACTCCTATGATAAGCAATGTACGAAGAGGTCATTGATTTTTATTTTGCAACGAGCAATTCAAAATCCCTATTTACCGTTGTTCGATCAACCATTTTTGTCACTTGTAGTAAATTTACTAAAAACTGGAAAAGTTTAAGTGTTTGTGTGTATTTTGAAATGGCTGCTAGCATTGGTGCACATGTTATGAAGACTAACAGAATTACAGACTCCTTGAGAAACTGAGCCCTGGGTTTGGGATACTTATATTGATATCAGAATTGATTTTGATTCACCCTTACGTTATACTCCCTCCGTTACGGATGTAAAGTATAGATTCACTTATTTTGTTTCCTATGTAATCTATACTGAAATTTCTAAAAGGACATATATTTAGGAACGGAGGGAGTATTACTCCCTCTGTCCGGAAATAAATGACACTTAAACGCTGCTAGATATATCGGTTCGAGTGACATTTATTTCTGGAGGGGATAGTACTACTCCCTCCGTTCCCAAATACAAGTCTTTCTAGAGATTCCAACAAGTGACTACATATAGAGCAAAATGAGTAAATCTACACTCTAAAATATGTCTACATACATTTGTATGTTATAGTCCATTTGAAATGTCCAAAAAAAGTTATATTTAGAAACGGAGGGTGTCGTGGAATTGTCACGGCAGATGTCCTTAGTGTCAGGACTTAGTCGTGAAGCCAACACATCTATGTGATAGCTTGAGAGGGGTTGATTGGGATGAGATACGCAGGGCGGATCAACACACAAGACGAGGATTTAGACAGCTTCGGGCCCCGGGAAACATCATCCGGTAACAACCCTACATGTTGTTGGTGGCTAGGTCTCATTATCATCATAAGGAAGTCGCCGGTAAACCGGCTCTTTGTGTCTAGCCCTAGAGATTGCTTCTTCTTTGCTTGTCCCTCTTTTGGGAGCCCTGCCCCTCCTTATATATGTTGAAGGGGCGGGTTACATGACTAGTCCTATTAGGATTAGGATTACTCTATTACAAGTGGAGTCCTAGTCTTGCTTCCTTTGTAGGGGAATATTCCTTATGCTTTGTGCTTTACCAACTAAGCAGTGGATACTTCAATATAATGGTTTAAGACTTGTGTGCCTTGAATTGTTAACAAGAGCAATTGGTAGCTCCCAAGGGCCGGCTCATTACAATGTGATGAGTCGGGTCTTCAATAAGGTGAGCAAATAATAATTTTGCATTAGCCCCCAAGTGCCATGGTGCATGCTGGCAGTGACATGGGACTTGAATATTTGATGTAATCTCAATTTGAATAATGTAGCCCCCAAGTGCCTGGTCGTTAGCCTGCAGTGACTCGGAACTATTCCTTCGATTGTAGAATAAATCATATCCATTGATAACATACACTAGTAGAAAAGGGGGCTTTGGTCCAGGCCGGGTAAGCCCATTAGTCCCGGTTCAGTCCAGAACCGGGACCAATGGGTGCATTTATCCCGGTTCGTGCGGCTAAGGCATTAGTCCCGGTTCACCTGGGCCCTTTAGTCCCGGTTCGTGCCACGAACCGGGACTAAAGGGTGCGATGCCCATTGGTCCCGGTTGGTGGCACCAACCGGGACTAATGGGCTTTGAGGCATTAGTACCG